GCAACTCCATTTATTCTTTTATTAGTGACTTCGTGAAATTAAACACCATAAATTTAATGTGGATAAACTCTGCGAAGGCATAGCCACAATTTGGGTGGTTTTAATGTATGCGGTAAACTCCACGGATATAACAGTTACCAAAAATGCTGTGAAAATGCGAAAATGCTCAGATAAACTCAGCGAAAATGCTGTGAGGCTGACTACTGACTAGCCAGTCTGTGATTGGAGATATGTATTCACCTAGTTGTGTTTGTGGGGAATGAGCTCTGCTTTTTCGGCCCACCTCTCAATTGTTTATGTTCAATATTATGAGTTTAATATTAATTGCATTGATTATTTAATGTAATAATAGTCTAGTCTCTAGACTATCCCAGTTCAAAGAATGTTAAAATATGTGGGGAAACCTACCGGTGATTGATTTGATTATTAATTCAAGAAACTTTATTTAATTGTGTCATTTCTTCAAAACGGACTATTTTAGCATTTATTGTCACCAGTAAACTTTCCTTCACATATTTTAGGGGCTTTCATATTTTAATCCTACCATAATTAAATGGTAGATATAATTATTAATGTGTTAAATTACAATACGTTAGTTAAAGTATTTAATGGCCTGAGGTGTTTCAGTAGTGTTGGCTGATCATCCAACATCAGATACCCTTGGACACCAGTATTACTGGTGGACAGGTGTTAAAGGCGTCTGGGTGGTACACCTCAACTTGTCTCATGCATCACTATTTACCCTCCAACAAGTTATATCGTAAAAAAACTGACAATAACTTGCAAAGTACAGGTGTTACACATGAAATTTGAGTGATTATTAGTGAACAACTTATCCTGTTGGGTGTTGTTTTCCTATGCCCTAACGATTAGTCCTAGACACAGAAATAATTGACCAATATAATCTTAGCTAATATACTAACCGAACTGTGGCACTTTCCTCCTGTCTTACAAGTTGCAGCAACAAATAGTGACTTTACTCCTTTCTTGTAAGTCACACGGTTTTCTAGAACTCGCAGGAGGAAATTTGTGTTGTGGGAGGCCCGCTTTCGTTCACCACACTCAGTACAATGGCTGCCTCCTTCCTCTCTCCCTGGTCCAGAACCATCTGTTTATATTTGAGATTTGGGAGAAAGAATGAGTTTGAGATCAAATCTAACTATTTACTATACAATTAATTTAGTATGCTTAACATGTCATTGTTTGTCACCTGTTTAACAAACCATTCCTAAGTGGAGTGTTGCCCATGCAATGGAAACAATAATCATTCCCATACCGAAGCCCAATGACCCTGGCAATTACAGACTTATCAGTCTCGTGTCATGCACGTGCAAGATGCTTGAAAAGATCATCCTCAACCGACTGTTGCACAAAATAGGCAGGTTAGGGGAGGGGCGTCAATGGATTTGTTAAAGGATGGAGCACAGCAAATTGTATAGTTAATTACTTGGATAATGGCACGACTAGGTATGCTCTGTTTGTTGACATCAAAGAAGCCTTGGACAATGCGCAGGGGATTGCGATCCTGGACGAGCTTGCATGCATGTGTGTCAAGGGGAAACTCATGAAATGGGTTGAAGACTACCTCACAGGGAGGAAAGCCAAGGTCGGCTTCAATGGAGCAGTCTCAAGAAAGATAAATATGGAACTCGGGACCCCCAAGGAAGGGTCTTAAGCCCACTATTCAACATACTTATGACGCCATTGCAAATATTGATTTTCCGGAAGGAAAACAACAAGTGAGATATGCAGAAGTTGTGCTAATACAAGCCCCAACCTAGGCAAAAATTAAACAGTCCATTGAACTCCTTGGAAGGAAATGTATTGAGCTCGGTTTCACTCTTTCTACACACAAGACAAAAGCAAACTCTCATCACAAGCGGGGAGAAATGAAGAACTACAAATTAATGGTGTAACACTTGCATGGGTTGACCACTACAGGTACCTTGGCGTCATTGTCGTCTCTCACAAGGGGAAGAAAGAGGAGCTCGATCAACTCATAGGAACATGCAAAAGTCGACTCAGGGCACTGAAAACTATGACCTGGAATGAGCATGGAGCCTCTATTGTCGTGCTTAAAATGATGTACACAGCCTATGTGCTTTCCGTCATAGACTATGCCGCACCAGTTTTATGCACCTACTCCCAAAGCGATATAAAAAACTTGAAAGCATTCAAAATAAAGCCATGACAAGCATTTGTGGAGTTCCAAGAACTGCCAAAATGCCTATTCTATGAGAGAAGTTGCCCCTCCCCCAGTGTTAAAAACAGAATTAAGGAACTGAATGCTAAGCTTGCAATTAGAATAGCCAGAGTCCCATAATGATAGCCAGAGATCCATATTACAATGATATTGCCAAGAAAATCTGAGTTCTGTGTTACTTACAGGAGGAAACAGGAGAATCAAAAATGGTATCACAGATCAGTCTGCTACCTCGAAGAATCTCACCTGCTATAGCAAGCCCGTGAACTCATGCCTGTAGAGAGGTTACCGGCCTGGGAGGATGACTCATTCAGGATTATTATCAATGAAATGGCAACGAAAAAATCCAACATGATAGCACAAGAAATGAGGCACATGTATCTCAAGAAAATTTATGAAGAAGCCGGAGATGAACTAGATCAAATCTACATTGACGGGTCATCAAATCCTGCCAATGGCAGGGCTGGTGCAGCTTACACTATAATTAGGAATAATACCTTTCAACCGAGAAATGAAGAAAAACACGTATTGAGAACTATGCTTTTTCAACGCAAGCAGAGCTAACTGCCATTGTTATGGTGTTAGATTCCTTGAACGAAACACTAATGGCACAGTGATCAGCACTAATTCAAGATAAGGATTACAAAGCCTAAGTAAAAATCGGGCAGTAATGTTACGATAGTCGCTAAAATTAAGAGAGCTGTGAGAGTACTAATCAACGAGGGAAGAGTCGTCAAGTTTCTGTGGATCCCCTCCCATGTTGGAATATGAGGGGATGAACGAGCAGAAGTGCTAGCTGCTGAAGGCGCTGAAGGAGACCATATTGAATACTTCATAGCCAAAGACTCTTTTACAAATTAGAGGCATTGTCAGGACCATTCACCATGACAACGTAACTGAGGAAAGGAGGATAGAAGCACAAACCAATGAATCTGTACGATGGTACAACATGGTTGCAGCTGGCAATTCGAATCATTATGGGCTAAGAGAAAGTGGCTGTGGGAGAGAATCAGTAATAGCGAGAATCCGTCTTGGATACAAATATCCATGAAGATTTGGAATGGAAATAACAGTTGAGCAGCGGAATTGCAAAATCTGTGATGAGAGTGACGGACACTGCCTTAACCGCTACCTGAGAGAATGTTAACACGTGAGAGACATTAGAAATATGTGTAGAATAATAAACCCCACATTGTTTGAATTAGGAAAACACTATTTGTAAAATATTGATAATGTTCTTAAAGATTCCCCCATTTTGCACCCGCAGGATAACGTAAGATTTTAAGGTTGACAGATGATAATCTACTTGTTTGAGGAGCTATTCACTTGAGACAGTTAGGCAAGTTCAAGTTGTGTCTGGGTACAAGTGACAGGATGAACAACCCAGCGGGAAGTGTTGTACATGCTGCTATGGCACAACCCGTTCTTGCAAATTTAATAAGTCAATATTGACTTATTAAATATGTGCATAGGTGACATACTTAACATAATAGTTTCCCTTGAAAAGCTTCATAGAAAACACCGACCTTACCTAACCTACTTAGTATGTTAAGATAAGCATCTTATTGCTTCGTAATTACAATTATTACCTAACCTATACCTATAATAGGTTAAGTAACAATTGTAATTACGAAGCTATAAGATGCTTATTTTAAAATACTAAGTAGGTTAGGTAAGGTCGGTGTTTTCTATGAAGCTTTTCAAGGGAAACTATTATGTTTAGTATGTCACTTGTGCACGCAACTAATAAGTCAATATTGACTTATTAAATTTGCGAGAACGGGTTGTATGGCAATATATCACAGGATGAGTGGCACTGCCCAATAAACTCGCCCCTCAAGGCAAAATTTTATTTTCTTTAATTAATTTAGTAGGTTCATTTTATTGTGTAACCAAACGTAAGTCAGGTAGATTTGATAATAAATTAGCCAAAACGTTGGCTGAACGATTGTGAAGTCGACTTTGGGAACATAACCGCGTTTTCTGCAACTTTTTTATGAATAAATTATGTAAATTAACGACATCTTTAGGTGGTTACATAAGAGTTTGTATATTTGGTGTGGAAATTTCCCAAAAGAGTCTTCTGTTCCATGTAAATGGTGGTGGTGGTGGGTATGGTACTTACTGTTCCATGAAGCTGGGTATTGTGCTATGGTTCCTTCTGCTGGGTATTGTGCTATGGTTCCTTCTGCTGGGTATTGTGCTATGGTTCCTTCTGCTGGGTATTGTGCTATGGTTCCTTCTGCTGGGTATTGTGCTATGGTTCCTTCTGCTGGGTATTGTGTTATGGTTCCTTCTGCTGGGTATTGTGCTATGGTTCCTACTGCTGGGTATTGTGTTATGGTTCCTTCTGCTGGGTATTGTGCTATGGTTCCTTCTGCTGGGTATTGTGCTATGGTTCCTTCTGCTGGGTATTGTGTTATGGTTCCTTCTGCTGGGTATTGTGCTATGGTTCCTTCTGCTGGGTATTGTGCTATGGTTCCTTCTGCTGGGTATTGTGTTATGGTTCCTTCTGCTGGGTATTGTGCTATGGTTCCTTCTGCTGGGTATTGTGTTATGGTTCCTTCTGCTGGGTATTGTGTTATGGTTCCTTCTGCTGGGTATTGTGCTATGGTTCCTTCTGCTGGGTATTGTGTTATGGTTCCTTCTGCTGGGTATTGTGTTATGGTTCCTTCTGCTGGGTATTGTGTTATGGTTCCTTCTGCTGGGTATTGTGCTATGGTTCCTTCTGCTGGGTATTGTGTTGTGGTTCCTTCTGCTGGGTATTGTGTTATGGTTCCTTCTGCTGGGTATTGTGTTATGGTTCCTTCTGCTGGGTATTGTGCTTCTGCTGGGTATGTGCTATGGTTCCTTCTGCTGGGTATTGTGCTATGGTTCCTTCTGCTGGGTATTGTGCTATGGTTCCTTCTGCTGGGTATTGTGCTATGGTTCCTTCTGCTGGGTATTGTGCTATGGTTCCTTCTGCTGGGTATTGTGTTATGGTTCCTTCTGCTGGGTATTGTGTTATGGTTCCTTCTGCTGGGTATTGTGCTATGGTTCCTTCTGCTGGGTATAGTGCCATGGTTCCTTCTGCTGGGTATTGTGCTATGGTTCCTTCTGCTGGGTATTGTGCTATGGTTCCTTCTGCTGGGTATTGTGCAATGGTTCCTTCTGCTGGGTATTGTGCTATGGTTCCATCTGCTGGGTATTGTGTTATGGTTCCTTCTGCTGGGTATTGTGTTATGGTTCCTTCTGCTGGGTATTGTGCTATGGTTCCTTCTGCTGGGTATTGTGCTATGGTTCCTTCTGCTGGGTATTGTTCTGTGGTTCCTTCTGCTGGGTATTGTGCTATGGTTCCTTCTGCTGGGTATTGTGTTATGTTTCCTTCTGCTGGGTATTGTGTTATGGTTCCTTCTGCTGGGTATAGTGCCATGGTTCCTTCTGCTGGGTATAGTGCCATGGTTCCTTCTGCTGGGTACTGTGCTATGGTTCCTTCTGCTGGGTATTGTGTTATGGTTCCTTCTGCTGGGTACTGTGCTATGGTTCCTTCTGCTGGGTACTGTGTTATGGTTCCTTCTGCTGGGTACTGTGCTATGGTTCCTTCTGCTGGGTATTGTGTTATGGTTCCTTCTGCTGGGTACTGTGCTATGGTTCCTTCTGCTGGGTACTGTGCTATGGTTCCTTCTGCTGGGTACTGTGCTATGGTTCCTTCTGCTGGGTACTGTGCTATGGTTCCTTCTGCTGGGTATTGTGCTATGGTTCCTTCTGCTGGGTATTGTGCTATGGTTCCTTCTGCTGGGTATTGTGCTATGGTTCCTTCTGCTGGGTATTGTGCTATGGTTCCTTCTGCTGGGTATTGTTCTATGGTTCCTTCTGCTGGTTCCTACAGTTGTCATAGTTGACAATATCACAATAATCTAAAACCATTGCAGCAACATTATCACAGTCATCAACTGCGGTAACACAGGAACATCACTAGAGTCATCAACTCTGGCAACATTATATACATTAACATCGTTGTTAACTATGAAAAAAGCTTCACTATCAACACATTCGTCAGTTAAGAAAACAGTTCAACTTCAAATTACAATTATGACAACAACAGTGTAACGACCAGGGTGGCCTAGTTGCAGTAGAGCAAGCGGTTGAGAGAATAAAGCAGAGAGAGTGTTTAATTATTATCCCTTGAGCTACTTCCTGGTGTTACGGCGGTGCAGGGGACATGATTATTTGAGAATATGCCAACTACTGGCTAGGTTTTAGACTGGCATTATTAATTAACTAGCCGTACCCGGCCACGCATTGCTGTGGCTGGTGAGCCACAGCAACCTTTCCCTGCCCCCTCGTCCTCCCCATCATCCCCCACTCTCCTGCCCCCTCGTCCTCCCCATCATCCCCCACTCTCCTGCCCCCTCGTCCTCCCCATCATCCCCCACTCTCCTGCCCCCTCGTCCTCCCCATCATCCCCCACTCTCCTGCCCCCTCGTCCTCCCCATCATCCCCCACTCTCCTGTCCCCTCGTCCTCCCCATCATCCCCCACTCTCCTGTCCCCTCGTCCTCCCCATCATCCCCCACTCTCCTGTCCCCTCGTCCTCCCCATCATCCCCCACTCTCCTGCCCCCTCGTCCTCCCCATCATCCCCCACTCTCCTGCCCCCTCGTCCTCCCCATCATCCCCCACTCTCCTGCCCCCTCGTCCTCCCCATCATCCCCCACTCTCCTGCCCCCTCGTCCTCCCCATCATCCCCCACTCTCCTGTCCCCTCGTCCTCCCCATCATCCCCCACTCTCCTGCCCCTCGTCCTCCCCATCATCCCCCACTCTCCTGTCCCCTCGTCCTCCACACCATTCCCCACTCCTCTGTCCACTTGTCCTCCCTACCATTCCCCACTCTCCCGTCCCCTCGTCCTCCCCATCATTCCCCATTGATCTGATGTTCCAATCACTGAAAATAAGAACAGTTAAAAAACAAAATGAAAAACAATGAAAAAATATAGAAATAAACTATACTCACGAAATGAAGGTAAACAACACAGCTCAGTTCCAGTGCAGTGTCACACAAAATAATTAAATAAAAATGAAAATAAATCGAAATTAATGGAAATTAAATTTATCAATGCAATTGGAAACATTGAAATGGAATCATAACATATATTTAGTATAGCGTGTGTTGCTTTTATGTGCAACAGATTGTGCTGTTTTTCAAAAAAGCGTGTTTTTGCCTGTCATAGGTGTGGCCTCAATATAGTAGGTACATAAAAACACGTGCATATTCGAATGGAAAGTTGGGTCAAAATTTCAAAGCAATTGTTGAAAAACTTTCAGAGATTACAGCATGTGTTGATCTTACGCCCAACAGATGGCACTGTTTTAATAAGAAAGCTTCTTCTTACCTGTCACAGGTGAGGCATGTATATAGTAGTTATATAAAAACACAAGTGTATTTGATTGTTACTTTGTGTCAAAATTTCAAAGCAATACGTAAAGAGGTTTAAGAGATTTCCCTCACATGAAAACTCACATCAAAAATAGTTTTTCAAAAAAGCATGTTTTTACCTGTCACAGACGTAACATAATGAAATGAACGGTATGGTAAACAACATAGCGCAATTGCAATGCTATGTCACTAAAAATAATTAAATCAAAATGAAAATCAATCAAAATCTATGAAAATTCAATTTATCTATGTAATCGGAAACATTGAAATCCAGTCATAACAAATTTAGTATAGTGTATGTTGCACTTTACGTGCAACAGATACTGTTTAAAAAAAAACATGTTTCTACCTGTCACAGGTGTGGCATGTATATAGTAAGTATATAAAAACACGTTCGTATTCGAATTCAACGTTGTGTCCAAATTTCAAAGCAATCAGTGAAGAACTTTCGGAGATTAGCGATTTTGAACAAACGAACATTTACATTATTATTTATATAGATTAAATACTACATAGCCAGTAGGAATATAAATTTATGAGATAGTTATGTTATAGTTGGCAAAGTTGACTTAAAAGGACAGGATGTACACAGTACGAGAGTTTTTTCTGTAATGCTGCCAGCAGGCAAGGGTCTCAGAATTCAGTCGGAGCCGGGACATGTTACAGGGAAGGTGTAGTGCCTTCAGCCGCAGTCGTCAATGTCAGTAATGTTGTTGTTCCTTGAGATTATCTTGAGATGATTTCGGGGCTTTAGTGTCCCGCGGCCCGGTCCTCGACCAGGCCTCCACCCCCAGGAAGCAGCCCGTGATAGCTGACGAACACCCAGGTACCTATTTACTGCAATGTAACAGAGGCATAGGGTGAAAGAAACTGCCCATTGTTTCTCGCCGGCGCCCGGGATCGAACCCGGGACCACAGGATCACAAGTCCAGTGTGCTGTCCGCTCGGCCGACCGGCTCCCTATGTTGTTTTAGATTTAGCTACACAGAACGAATATCCATGTAGCACGGGCTATAGTGAGCCCGTAACAATGTCAGTAGGTCCTGTTCTGTTATGTAGTGCCACCTCTTCTGTGTGTGTATATACTTTGGTAGTTGTCAAAAGCTTCTTGCCGTCCCTCTTTAGTGTCATCTAAAGTGCTTTGCAAGAGGATACATAGTATGGGATTGCCGGTTGAGGGTAATGGTAATTTTGGCGGCAGTGTAATATTACTGAATTGCCTTAAGTGAGTCCGTGCTCCTATTACAAGGGGAGTAGAGAACAGTAAAGTAACTTTCATCAGCCAGAACTTTGTTACAAGGGTGTGTGGGGGATTGGGTTAACAAATATTGTTAATCCCTTTTTACTTATTTAATGGGCATGGTTAGGCTACCGTCATCTCTTAGGATAACATGACATAAACAAATCCACAAGGGCCGTGACGTGGATTCGAACCAACGTCTGTGAGCATCTCAGATGCTGTCTTAATCAACTGAGCTACGACATGGTTAAAAGAGTTAATCAGTCGATTAAGGCAGCGTCTGGGATGCTCACAGACGTAGGTTCGAATCCTCGTCACGGCCCTTGTGAATTTGTTCATTGATGCATCACGTTATTGTGATCTCTGTGTGTAATAGCACGACATGTTGTGACGTTTGACAGGGGGCCGGGCCGCCAGCAGCCAGGTTATGGACTCATATTATCATTAATTAGCATTGGAGAGCCTTGTCCACTGTTGTGGGGTGAATTGATGTGTAAGTCGCCAGGTTTTATTACACCATATATTATTATAACCCACAACCAGGTCGTACCAAACATCAACACAGTCAACCACAACACCAGGAACATCAACACAGTCAACCACAACACCAGGAACATCAACACAGTCAACCACAACACCAGGAACATCAACACAGTCAACCACAACACCAGGAACATCAACACAGTCAACCACAACACCAGGAACATCAACACAGTCAACCACAACAACACCAGGAACATCAACACAGTCAACCACAACACCAGGAACATCAACACAGTCAACCACAACACCAGGAACATCAACACAGTCAACCACAACACCAGGAACATCAACACAGTCAACCACAACACCAGGAACATCAACACAGTCAACCACAACAACACCAGGAACATCAACACTGTCAACCACAACACCAGGAACATCAACACAGTCAACCACAACACCAGGAACATCAACACAGTCAACCACAACACCAGGAACATCAACACAGTCAACCACAACAACACCAGGAACATCAACACAGTCAACCACAACAACACCAGGAACATCAACACTGTCAACCACAACACCAGGAACATCAATGTGAGAACCGACCTGTGAGATTTATATTTATTTAATTTATATGAATTTATATTTACGTTAATTTATATACTTCGATAGCAATTTGTATAATGATAAGTGGACTGTATTTCTGCAATAATCTCTTAATCTCACAAATCGATCCTCTACACATTAGGGGGGGTTTATATTACACATATGCAGCCAATCAAATTACAGTAATAGCTACATACATTGATGAGGTTCCTTCTCTTATAGTACAGCAGGTTAGTCCACCAGGTATAACTAGAGTGTAGACACCAAATTATCCTCTTTGAGGTAGCTTCTATCATCCAGTAACTGGTGCACATAATCTTGCATCCTCGTCTTGACCTGTCAAAAGTGCGCTAGCTGTGAAGCCAGAATCCTATATATGACAAGCTATATCAGAGAAAACACTATACAGTACATGGAACATTAAAGACCTGGCTTAATTACCTTTAGTATGAGGCGATTTCGCGTTCTAACCGGCTAACCCTATATCCTGACATTAATGGCCATAAATGAATGATAAACGGGTTTCGGATAGACACTTAACTTGAATTTGTAGACAGCGTGTTGACAATGGTACACCTTTGGGTTCCATAACACTACGTCCAAGTAAATTTAACAGGAGCCGAATTTGCTCCCGTGTGAGCCTCTGGTCTCAATATAACAATGGCTGCCCTCCTTCCCCACTGACGCCTGGCCTACTTTGTCCAGATTTCAGAAAGTGATAGAAGGGTCACATTTACTCTACTTTAATATTGATAATTAAGTTAATTTATATGAGATGTTTTATGATGGTAAAGTCCAAAGACTAATGTATTTAAGAATAATTCCCAGCAGAATAGCTGGTGAACTATAATAGTATGTGGTGATGATATCCCGTTCTCTATAGACGGTAATTCCACTACAAATTACGTTTTCTATGGGTAACTTGTTTATACAACACAGCTCTTATCTGTCTGTATGATATTATTATTAAATGGTGTCGGATTTTCCGACAATCAACACAGTCAACCACAACAACACCAGGAACATCAACATAAACTCACCATAGTCGTCAACTATAAACATATGCAAAGCAGTCATTTATGACAACAACATCGTCAACTTTAACAAGAACATCATCTTTAAGAAGTCAACCATGACAAAGGCAACATCAACAAAGTTAACCACGACAGAAGCAACATCAACAAAGTCAACCATGACAGAAGCAACATCAACAAAGTCAACCATGACAGAAGCAACATCAACAAAGTCAACCATGACAGAAGCAACATCAGCAAAGTCAACCATGACAGAAGCAACATCAACAAAGTCAACCATGACAGAAGCAACATCAGCAAAGTCAACCATGACAGAAGCAACATCAGCAAAGTCAACCATGACAGAAGTAAAGACAGTTGTCAACCAGTGGTTGTCCAAGAGAGGTGTTAATAATGTGCATGTTGTACAAAGTTTTTCCATGAGTGTTATCAATGTTGCACAGTGTTGCACAGTGTTGCACAGCGTTTGCTCGTTGCTTAACATCAACGTTTGTTTCGTCGATCGTCTAAGCAAAGGTACATTGCTCCACTTCTTCTCAAGACTCGGAATTTGGCTTTAATCTATATTTTTTCCCCCGTCCAACCCATTTTTGAGAAACATTTCCCCATTTTCTCCAACTCAGATCCTGGCAGCCGGAGTGAGAGGAGAGACGGGAGAAAACACAGTGTTGCAGTAACACAGTGTTGCAGTATCCGGTGCAATACTGAGGGTTGAGCACCCTCCCGGCCGCCAGCCGCCTCCTCGCTATGCCACACACATTCTTACTTTTTGCCCGCACGATATCGCTTCGCTGCGGAGGCTGACTCGCGCTTAACGACGGCAGCGGGAGTGTTGAAGCCCGTGTTGGGAGCGGCCCCGCTGGCGATCACTCAGCTCGGTGTGATGGATTCTTCTTCCTGTTCTTGTTCTTCTCCTCTGCCTGTTCTCTTGTTCTTCTCCTCTGCCTGCTCTTGTTCTTCTCCTCTGCCTGCTCTTGTTCTTCTCCTCTGCCTGCTCTTGTTCTTCTCCTCTGCCTGCTCTTGTTCTTCTCCTCTGCCTGCTCTTGTTCTTCTCCTCTGCCTGCTCTTGTTCTTCTCCTCTGCCTGCTCTTGTTCTTCTCCTCTGCCTGCTCTTGTTCTTCTCCTCTGCCTGCTCTTGTTCTTCTCCTCTGCCTGCTTTGTTTTGGTCATATTCATCTCCTTCGCCGAACTGTGCCTCTGCATTCTCTTGCACTGGTAAAATGTTCATCATCTTCATCAAGTTGTACTGCTGCATTTTCTTCTCATGGTCATGTTCATCACCTTCACCGTGCATCTCTACTGTTGCAACTTGTCATGGTCATGTTCAGCACCTTCACCGTGCATTTCTACTGTTGCAACTTGTCATGGTCATGTTGAGCACCTTCACCGTGCAGCTCTACTGTTGCAACTTGTCATGGTCATGTTGAGCACCTTCACCGTGCAGCTCTACTGTTGCAACTTGTCATGGTCATGTTCAGCACCTTCACCGTACAGCTCTACTGTTGCAACTTGTCATGGTCATGTTCAGCACCTTCACCGTACAGCTCTACTGTTGCAACTTGTCATGGTCATGTTGAGCACCTTCACCGTACAGCTCTACTGTTGCAACTTGTCATGGTCATGTTCAGCACCTTCACCGTACAGCTCTACAGTTCCAACTTGTCATGGTCATGTTTATCACCTTCACCGTACAGCTCTACAGTTCCAACTTGTCATGGTCATGTTGAGCACCTTCACCGTACAGCTCTACTGTTGCAACTTGTCATGGTCATGTTCAGCACCTTCACCGTACAGCTCTACAGTTCCAACTTGTCATGGTCATGTTTATCACCTTCACCGTACAGCTCTACAGTTCCAACTTGTCATGGTCATGTTCAGCACCTTCACCGTACAGCTCTACAGTTCCAACTTGTCATGGTCATGTTGAGCACCTTCACCGTACAGCTCTACTGTTGCAACTTGAAATCTTCCGCAGACGTGCTCGGGTAAACTTCAAAGAAGGAATGTGTAACCAGTTCTTAGGAAGAAGACCCGCTAAGCGGCAGGGATTAGGAACGACTTCATAATTAGTACTATTATGTACTCTATCTTAGGTTACTTTAGGTTAAGGTTAAGGTTAAGGTTACTTTAGGTTAAGGTTACTTAAGGTTAAGGGTACTTTAGGCTAAGGTTTCATTAACTATGGTTACGTTAATACGGCGTATTATGCACGTTAATGTGAAATTTGAAAACTATTTTAGCATGCCCAAGAAATCGATTTTCAGGAAAGCAAATTCTTCAAAGAAAACATTTCAGCATACATATTTTTAACCAACGATTTACATTATAATAACATTATAACTTGACAATAATATCTGTTTATGACATGTCAAGCGGGTCCGTGCCTGCCGTGGAGACCGCCTGCCGTGGAGACCGCCTGCCGTGGAGACCGCCTGCCGTGGAGACAGCCTGCCGTGGAGACAGCCTGCCGTGGAGACAGCCTGGCGTGGAGACCGCCTGCCGTGGAGACCGCCTGCCGTGGAGACAGCCTGCCGTGGAGACAGCCTGATGTGGAGACAGCCTGCCGTGGAGACAGCCTGCCGTGGAGACAGCCTGATGTGGAGACAGCCTGATGTGGAGACAGCCTGCCGTGGAGACAGCCTGATGTGGAGACAGCCTGATGTGGAGACCGCCTGCCGTGGAGGCAGCCTGATGTGGAGACAGCCTGCCGTGGAGACCGCCTGCCGTGGAGACAGCCTGGCGTGGAGACAGCCTGCCGTGGAGACCGCCTGCCGTGGAGACAGCCTGCCGTGGAGACCGCCTGCCGTGGAGACAGCCTGCCGTGGAGACCGCCTGCCGTGGAGACAGCCTGCCGTGGAGACAGCCTGCCGTGGAGACAGCCTGCCGTGGAGACCGCCTGCCGTGGAGACAGCCTGCCGTGGAGACAGCCTGCCGTGGAGACAGCCTGCCGTGGAGACAGCCTGATGTGGAGACAGCCTGCCGTGGAGACAGCCTGCCGTGGAGACAGCCTGCCGTGGAGACAGCCTGATGTGGAGACAGCCTGATGTGGAGACAGCCTGCCGTGGAGACAGCCTGCCGTGGAGACAGCCTGCCGTGGAGACAGCCTGCCGTGGAGACAGCCTGCCGTGGAGACAGCCTGCCGTGGAGACAGCCTGCCGTGGAGACAGCCTGCCGTGGAGACAGCCTGCCGTGGAGACAGCCTGATGTGGAGACAGCCTGCCGTGGAGACAGCCTGCCGTGGAGACAGCCTGCCGTGGAGACCGCCTGCCGTGGAGACAGCCTGCCGTGGAGACCGCCTGCCGTGGAGACAGCCTGCCGTGGAGACCGCCTGCCGTGGAGACAGCCTGCCGTGGAGACAGCCTGCCGTGGAGACAGCCTGCCGTGGAGACAGCCTGCCGTGGAGACAGCCTGCCGTGGAGACAGCCTGCCGTGGAGACAGCCTGCCGTGGAGACAGCCTGCCGTGGAGACCGCCTGCCGTGGAGACAGCCTGCCGTGGAGACAGCCTGCCGTGGAGACAGCCTGCCGTGGAGACAGCCTGCCGTGGAGACAGCCTGCAGCGTGGAGACAGCCTGCCGTGGAGACAGCCTGCCGTGGAGACAGCCTGCCGTGGAGACAGCCTGCCGTGGAGACAGCCTGCCGTGGAGACAGCCTGCCGTGGAGACAGCCTGGAGACAGTGGAGACAGCCTGCCGTGGAGACAGCCTGCCGTGGAGAGAGCCTGCCGTGGAGACAGCCTGATGTGGAGACAGCCTGCCGTGGAGACCGCCTGCCGTGGAGACCGCCTGCCGTGGAGACAGCCTGATGTGGAGACAGCCTGCCGTGGAGACAGCCTGCCGTGGAGACCGCCTGCCGTGGAGACAGCCTGATGTGGAGACAGCCTGATGTGGAGACAGCCTGCCGTGGAGACAGCCTGGCGTGGAGACAGCCTGCCGTGGAGACAGCCTGCCGTGGAGACCGCCTGCCGTGGAGACAGCCTGATGTGGAGACAGCCTGATGTGGAGACAGCCTGCCGTGGAGACCGCCTGCCGTGGAGACAGCCTGCCGTGGAGACAGCCTGCCGTGGAGACAGCCTGCCGTGGAGACAGCCTGATGTGGAGACAGCCTGCCGTGGAGACAGCCTGCCGTGGAGACAGCCTGCCGTGGAGACAGCCTGCCGTGGAGACAGCCTGCCGTGGAGACAGCCTGCCGTGGAGACAGCCTGGCGTGGAGACAGCCTGATGTGGAGACAGCCTGCCATGGAGACAGCCTGCCGTGGAGACAGCCTGGCGTGGAGACAGCCTGGCGTGGAGACAGCCTGGCGTGGAGTGCCAGAGAGACAGCCTGCCATGGAGACAGCCTGCCGTGGAGACAGCCTGGCGTGGAGACAGCCTGGCGTGGAGACAGCCTGGCGTGGAGACAGCCTGCCATAGAGACAGCCTGCCGTTAACGGGATGGAAATTCTGCCGGAGTATTAGTGACAGAGTGCGGCTGGACAGTGAGTGACAGACTGCGGCTGGACAGTGACAGAGTGCGGCTGGACAGTGAGTGACAGAGTGCGGCTGGACAGTGAGTGACAGAGTGCGGCTGGACAGTGAGTGACAGAGTGTGGCTAGACAGTGAGTGACAGAGCGCGGCTAGACAGTGAGTGACAGAGTGCGGCTGGACAGTGAGTGACAGAGTGCGGCTGGACAGTGAGTGACAGAGTGCGGCTGGAGAGTGAGTGATAGAGTGCGGCTAGACAGTGAGTGACAGAGTGCGGCTGGACAGTGAGTGACAGAGTGCGGCTGGACAGTGAGTGACAGAGTGCGCTGCTGGAGTGACAGAGTGAGGCTAGACAGAGTGACAGAGTGCGGCTAGACAGTGAGTGACAGAGTGCGGCTAGACAGTGAGTGACAGAGTGCGGCTGGACAGTGAGTGACAGAGTGCGGCTGGACAGTGAGTGACAGAGTGCGGCTCGACAGTGAGTGACAGAGTGCGGCTGGAGAGTGAGTGACAGAGTGCGGCTAGACAGTGAGTGACAGAATGCGGCTAGACAGTGAGTGACAGAGTGCGGCTGGACAGTGAGTGACATAGTGCGGCTGGACAGTGAGTGACAGAGTGTGGCTAGAGAGTGAGTGACAGAGTGCGGCTGGATAGTGAGTGACAGAGTGCGGCTGGACAGTGAGTGACAGAGTGCGGCTAGACAGTGAGTGACAGAGTGTGGCTAGAGAGTGAGTGACAGAGTGCGGCTAGACAATGAGTGACAGAGCGCGGCTAGACAGTGAGTGACAGAGTGCGGCTGGACAGTGAGTGACAGAGTGCGGCTGGACAGTGAGTGACAGAGTGCGGCTGGAGAGTGAGTGATAGAGTGCGGCTAGACAG